AGTAACTTAAGATCTCCTCTGACTTCAATGAAATTAGTAACTTAAGATCTCCTCTGACTTCAATGAAATTAGTAACTTAAGATCACCTCTGACTTCAATGAAATAAATAACTTAAGATCACCTCTGACTTCAATGAAATTAGTAACTTAAGATCACCTCTGGCTTCAATAAAATTAGTAACTTAAGATCACCTCTGTCTTCAATGAAATTAGTAACTTATGGTCACCTCTAACTTCAATGCAATTAGTAACTTAAGATCACCTCTGACTTCAATGAAATTAGTAACTTAAGATCACCTCTGACTTTAATGAAATTAGTAATTTGAATTGCAAGGTGCACCTCTGTCTACAGTGAAATTGATAACTTATGTTGTTAAGAGTACCTGTGCCTGTAAGTTATAAAACAGTTCTAACACATTGATTTTGCTTGTAGTTTTTCATCCATTACTTTGCTATAGTTGATTTCTGTAACAGAATATTGCTCTCTTCTTGACTTTGTAAAGGTATTTTATTAGTTTCTGGTAATTAAAAACTTTTAAGATTTGACCTCTTGGGTTTTAGTATTCCTTTGAATTGTACCAGTTATGAGTAATCCCATCATGTACTGATAAAGATGGTTATTTTACAAAACTGGACTAACTCAGAAGAATAGGCCAAAAAAAAAAAAATCAAAACTTTAACAGATATTTTTCTTCAAAAACTAGTGCCTGTTTTGTCTGTCGAATATTTAAAGTGAGTCTTATATATTTTTCATCCTGATGAGGAAGAGACCACTCTTTGAAAGCAGTTGAAGTTTTGAATAATTTTTTATAGTTTGCACTACATGTGTGGAGATACCTTGCAGTAAGTCATTATGGAATAATCCTATATGCTCTGTCATGATTAACTCTTTTTAACAAGTATATGATCATTACTTACCCAGGATAAGGTGTTGCTAGGAAGCGACTACCCCTTTCCTCTTGGAGAACACCATCCTGGAAAACTTATTGATGAATTAACTGACCTGGATCAACGGCAAAAGGTAGAGATTGTACTGTAGTAATATTGAGATAATCTTTCGTGAAAAATTAGTAAATATTAACTGAATAAATAAAAACTATACTTTGGAGACTTCATGTAGATTATTGTTATAATCTTCTGTTAATCTCACTCTTTCTACTTCTGCTTGGTGGAAGAGTTTTTATTTAGCTATTAACAATGGAAATTCCTGTTCATTGTATTACTATTAACAATAGAAATTCCTGTTCATTGTATTACTATTAACAATAAAAATTCCTGTTCATTGTATTACTATTAACAATAGAAATTCCTGTCTTCTATTCATTGTATTACTATTAACAATAAAAATTCCTGTTCATTGTATTAGTATTAACAATAGAAATTCCTGTTTTCTATTCATTGTATTACTGTAAACAATAGAGTCTTCTATTCATTGTATTACTGTAAACAATAAAGTCTTCTATTCATTGTATTACTGTAAACAATAGAGTCTTCTATTCATTGTATTACTGTAAACAATAGAGTCATCTATTCATTGTATTACTATAAACAATAGAGTCTTCTATTCATTGTATTACTGTAAACAATAAAGTCTTCTATTCATTGTATTACTGTAAACAATAGAGAGTAATACAATGAATAGAAGACTCTATTGTTTATAGTAATACAATAAATAGAAGACTATTGTTTACAGTAATACAATGAATAAAAGACTATTGTTTACAGTAATACATTGAATAGAAGACTCTATTGTTTACAGTAATACAATGAATAGAAGATACTATTGTTTATAGTAATACAATGAATAGATGATTCTATTGTTTACAGTAATACAATGAATAGAAGACTCTATTGTTTATAGTAATACAATGAATAGAAGACTCTATTGTTTATAGTAATACAGTGAATAGAAGACTCTTTTGTTTACAGTAATACAATGAATAGAAGACTCTATTGTTTACAGTAATACAATGAATAAAAGACTCTATTGTTTACAGTAATACAATGAATAGAAGACTCTATTGTTTACAGTATTACAATGAATAGAAGACTATTGTTTATAGTAATACAATGAAGAGAAGACTCTATTGTTTATACTAATACAATGAATAGAAGACTCTATTGTTTACAGTAATACAATGAATAGAAGACTATTGTTTATAGTAATACAATGAAGAGAAGACTCTATTGTTTACAGTAATACAATGAATAGAAGAGTAAACAATAAAGTCTTCTATTCATTGTATTACTGTAAACAATAAAGTCTTCTATTCATTGTATTACTGTAAACAATAGAGTCTTCTATTCACTGTATTACTATAAACAATAGAGTCTTCTATTCATCGTATTACTATAAACAATAGAGTCTTCTATTCATTGTATTACTGTAAACAATAGAATCATCTATTCATTGTATTACTATAAACAATAGTATCTTCTATTC